ATTTGATATCATCCTTTATTTAATCAATATAAATTGCTGATCCTGAAAAAGTAGCAACATTATATTCCATTGATATATTATTGAGTGTTAGAGAGTAAACATCTTTCATGTACATCACTCCTCCCAAATGAGCAACACTATTTCTATAGGTTGATCCAATATCCTAAATACTTGAGTTTATAGCAGCAATAACTCCTCCATACTTTGAATAATAGTTATTGTAAAATTGATTGTTCATCAAAAGTAATGATTCTGCATTTGAAACGTATATTGTACCGAAACTATCTTATTAAGAAAGTTATGAATATTCACTCTCACCTGGAACAATAAATTCTTTATTTTTGTCAAATCTTGAGTTAGAAATTAGAATTCCAGTATCTACTCCGACACTTGCTAAAAATGAACCACTAGCACTTTGATACTGAGTGAAATTTGAATGTGCTATCGATATTGATCTAGAATTTTCTGAATGAATAAATCCTCCCATCTACTTATAAGATCTTGAGCTTTACTGAAATAAATCATCAATTTCTACATTTAAATCATTTGAATCAACATAAATCGCTCCTCCATTATTATATGCATATGTTTATCTGATCTAGCTTTATTAAGTTATTTGTAGCAAGCTCAAAATTTCAAGTGTGTTTAATTATCTGTAAAATGCTCTATTTTCTCTCTCGTTCTAAAGTAAATTGTTCTCTTCCAAATTTTTATTTTCAGAAATAGTGATATTGGGAATTATATAATTTTTTAAAATCCTAGATTAAGTCTGGGCTTATTCTTATTCGAGGTTTTGTGTAAAGACATTGATAAATCCACCATTGTTGTAGGCAAAAGTGTTTTGCACTAAATTTTGAAAGAATTTTATATTTGAAGATCCGTTAACTGATATGCTCCCACCATTTTATGCAAAGTTATTAGTAAATTATGTTTTGTTGAAAATAGCATGGCATTTTTCACAATATACTGCTCCACCACTCATAGCTTAATTGAATGAAAAAATTGAGCCTTCATCATAAAGGGTTGTATTTTATAACTTGAATACACCTCCTCGCTATTAATAGAAGCAATTCTAGAAATTACTTAATCTAACATGAATAATGTCTACATTGCTGATAGCAAATGGAGTTGGATACTATAGATTAAACTAAGTTTCAATGAAATTAACAGAATTATCATCCATATGCTGCTTAGAGACATAAGAATTATCGAATTATAAAGCTTAACACTTAAGTTGCACTTAATCGATCTCAATATTTCTACCTTCCAACGCTGTTATAATTGAGTATTTATTAATGCTTAAGAGATCAATTGACCTTAGAGCAAAAGCCTTAAATCTTCTTAGAAAAATAAGCATATTAGCGCTTGAATCACTTGAGAAGTTGAAAATTCCTGACTATATTGTTATATTTGCATGTTCCGAGTTGCACTAAATGAATATTTCAAAAGCTTAGCTAGCTTAAATATCTTAGTCAATAGATTAAATCCATTAGTTATCGTAATTTGTGAGAATATATTTATTTTGTTTCAAATTGATAAATTAACTTTACTCTTAATAAATCTCTTCTATATATATGAAAGAACCATTATTTGAAGCCATTAAATTTTAAAAAATAGAATCTTTAACTTCGATGCTCAGCTTTGTAATATTTGAACCTAGATATGCAATACCACCTTAACCATTAGTTAAAACGTTAGTTGCTTATATTTCTGAAATATTTGCTTATGTTTCTCCTGAAATCAGTTAAATCAATCCAAATTATGTGGAGTAAATTTAAGAAAACTAAGTCTTGAATATTTCAATCTATACAGCTCTATCAATAGTCTATTTCAATATTCCATTGATTCCAATTAGATGTATAAAGTTTGAGTTTTAAATATTGATGCTGTGGCATTATCTAGCACAAGTTTAGAAGTAAGGCTGAAAGCTATTGGAATCTAAGTATTAAGTTTCTAAGACCCTGTCAGATGCTAGTTTTATGTTTTTAAGATAAATTTCTAATTTTGAATTTCCTTCTATTGCTTCTCTATAAAATCTTTTCTTGAAACTGATTATACTTCCACAAGAGTCTATGTTTTCAAACTAGGTATTTATAATCTCAATATGACCTCCGAATTCATTTAATTCTATCATAGAGTTGAAGTTGTAAATGAAGTTTTTTAAAGTCACATTCTATATACATTTAAGTCTTTAAGATATTTGATCTTACCTCTAATTTTAGAAGAGGTGGAGATTATAGCATTGTCTAAAAACTAATATCAAACTAAATGAAAGTTCCA